ACCTGATTTCTGCATTGTACATCTATGGTTTTCTTTCAAGTTGACCCAAAATGTGTTCTTTTTATTGCACTATATATTCTTTAAAAGAAATCAATGAAAACAAAATATGAATTTATAAAAAAAAAAAAAAAAAAGAATTTATAAAACTGTACAAAATGCAACACTTTTCAATTATTCGGTGAGCTGGCCTAACGGAAGTTTGCACTCTCAGTATGCTTCTTTTTATGTTGATTTTTGTAGGAAAAGCATATCTTTTAAAAAGAAATACAATTTAAATAAAATAGTTTTCACCCCTCAGTTTAGCTTGGCTAACAGCAATAACCTTGACCCTCCCTCGCCCCCAGCCTTACAGGGATGCCGTAGCGGTCTCTGATCGACTGGCGAAGCGTGCAGGACACCACGCAGCATACATCACAGAGTGGGAGGCAGCAACACCACCCGTGCTTGTTGGCTGTATCACACTGCATGCAGGGGAAACACCAAAGGGCACAGCAACCTCGACAGAAGAGAAAAAAAGTATGCAGAGACACAAGTTTATTTTACTGTTGAATAAGTTCCCCTTCAACAACTAGCTTGTGCATCCTGTGTTTCATATGGTGACTTCAGTCCTAACTTCAGATGGTCAGATACTCAAGACCCTCTGAATAAAAGTCTGAGGAGACTGTTGATACAAAAACCACTACTGTTTGTAGAGTTTGCTAGATTAACTTACAAGTGCCCATATCAGCACAGCAATCACAGAGGCCAGTGCTCCAGTGCCCAGGGTGTTGATTAGTGCTGGAGACTGTCACTATCTGGGTGGCCGCCTGGTATTGAGCCATTTCTGGAGGAAAGAAGGTAGAAATAGAGATGCATTGAAGGGTTATAGTTTTGGTTGCTCCTCTGTACGGAGAAATCAAATGCTAGAGTATGAAAAAGATAACAGCTGGTTTGAAGCATTACTGTCCACAGTGTGGATATTTTTACAAATAACACTTTCCTGTTTCGTGAAAATCACTGCAAAGACCATTGGTACAAAAGTTACGAGTACATCTTTTAAAACTCAGAAATTTGATAAAACCCAGTTTATAAACTGCATTCACAATACATTTCAAACCAATAACTTTTATAAATCTACCGTTTCAAACAGTTCAAAGTCACACAAAATCTTAATCTGTCTTGAATGCTCAGCATTCAAGACAGATTAAGAGATATTTAGTGTTATTTATCCATCTTTTTCTTTGGTACATAATCCCATATATCTTGCTTGATATATTTGATGTCTTCAGTTTTTATCTACAATGTAGAAAGTAATAAAAGTAAAGACTTTTGGCTGGTAGTGAATATACATATATATCTACATATCTGTGTATATGT